TATGACCCCTGTGCCTGACAGAACAGTTTGTCTGTACTGAGTCCAGCTACAGCGGGGTAAAGTCCAGGGCTATGCAGCCTCCTGTAGAGAGAAGGCCAAATTCAGAGGGCAACCTGCACAGACGTTTCATAGCACAGCAGAGCGGTGGAGAGCTCAGAGGTCCCCTGTACCTGTTGCCCTTGGGCACTCTGTGCAGAGGTTGCAGAAGAGCCAGAAGCCAGCTGACTGCGGAGCAGGAAGAGTAGCACTGCTGGTGCTGCCACTTCTCCATTCCTGTGCTGATCCCTTGCTTGGTAAGATGCTTTTGACGCTTTTTGACAGGCAGGCACAGAGCGTGGGTTGGCAGCTCAGCACCTCTGCCCCAGGCAGAGATCAACCCTTGCTGACATCAAGGGACAGAAAGAGCTTTATTAAGCTTACTGCAAACATACTATGAGTTTTAGAAGATTAAAACCATTTCAGCTGCAGAGCTTGGCCCCTCTGCCTTTCTCAGCTCTACGGCAAAGTTCTCTGCATAGGGAAGAGCAAATTTCCCCTGCAAGCCTCAGGGGCTTCTAGCTGTGAGTATGCTGGGGCCAGCAGCGAGTTTGGATCCACCTGCTCTGTGGGACAACCTTTTCCTTACTGATCCCACCACCCTCACACCAGGGACGCCCCAACAGCGCGGTGCTCCTCCCACCGGGGTTCCACTGGCCCCAAGGATTTTGTTTGTTTAGGAGTGAGCCGTGGCTATAGGGACACTGTACCGACATGCCCAGCCCAGGGACACAGGGGATGTGGGCGACACACAGAGCCGTGTGTCACCTCGGCTACCAGAATTACCGGCCGTGGGCTGATCCTGATAATCCTACGGTAAAAGTTCAGGGCAGCGTTTGTTTACCAAGCACGCAACTACGAGGAATGGCTGCGAGCCCGTGTCCCCGCGCAGCGCCGGCGATGACTCCGAGCTGCCGGAGCATCCATGCCGGGACCCAGCCGGCTCCTGGATACCTTTTCCCTCCAGCCGGGACCCAGCCGGCTCCTGCCTTGCTTTTCCCTCCAGCCGGGACCCAGCCGGCTCCTGCCTTGCTTTTCCCTCCCAGCCGGGACCCAGCCGCTTCCTGGCTCCTTTTCCCTCCAGCCGGGACCCAGCCGGTTCCTAACATCCTTTTCCCTCCTGGCCGGGACCCAGCGGCTTCTAGCTTCCTTTTCCCTCCCGCCCGATTCCTGCTTTCCTTCCCTCGCCCGTGGGAGGAGTGACGGAGGGAACCGCCCCGTTCCCGGACGCTGCGCACCATAAAGGCAGGCCTTGCTCCGGCCTCAGGGCTCGGGGCAGCCCGGCAGAGACCCTCGCCCGGCTCCGTGCCTGCCGCCAGCCTTCCCCGGGCTGCTCGTCCCACGGCCGCAGGTCGGTGAAGGGTGTCCCCCGAGCTGCCACCGCGACAGCACTACAGGAGGGGAAGGGAGAGGGCGGAGGGGCTGTCACGCCCCTGGGAGGGAGCTGTGGGTCCCACAGCACTCCCGAGCACCGCCATCGCCGGTACTTGGCGTGGGCAAGGGAGATTTTGAGGCTCCCTGACGCTCTGTAGGATTTCTCCTCAAGGCAGCCAGAAGCAACACCTCAGTAGTGCAAACCCCAGCACTGGCCAGGGGGACAGCACTCCACACCTGGCCGGGGACAGCAGTGGCTTTGCAGCCCCAAACAAACTTCTGAAGGGCTGCCTCTCTTGTTTGGGACCTCTTTGCTGCACCAGGGTCAAAGTTTTGCACATCCCAGGCGGCTCAGCCCCGCTGTCCCACGCTGTCCCCAGGCAGAGAGCCGGTGTTGGAGCGCAGCATGGCGAAGAAGGTGGCCATCATCGGCGGGGGCAGCAGCGGGCTGTGCGCCATCAAAGCCTGCCTGCAGGAGGGGCTGGAGCCCGTCTGCTTCGAGAGGACCGCCGACATCGGAGGCCTCTGGAGGTTTGAGGTAAACCCTGCTGGCCACGTATCCCACTCTCAGTGGTGGCTGGGGGGGTGGCACTGAGGGTAGGGGCTCCATGAAAAGGAGCACCTCGTCAGCCCCAGCCATCCTTCCCCATCATTCCCTGGCCAGCACTGAGCTGTGCCCTGCTCCCACAGGAGC